ACGGATTAAGTTCTCAAGTCAAGCCCCCACTGTATAAGTAAGTAGTTGGTTGCTGTTGTTACTCCAAATTTGCCAATGAATAATTATGTAATACATTATGTAATACATGACTTCATAGTTAATTTTTAACTCTTGGAGGAAGCAAATTAGGAAACAATTAAATGGCCCCCAAGTCCTCTCACATCATCTGAAAATGCCCCCTAATTGCTAATTGTTTCAGCAAAATCTTACTTTAAGGAACAGCACTGTCAGCCATTACTACCACATTATTTTGGGGACAAACTCAAATGGTTTCATGAGACAATTAATATGGCTTAAATTATCATAATGATTCAGAGTGGCACCTTATGCAGCCTTGGGCAAGCTAGAGTGCCCCCAGAAAAAGGGGAATGATAAATCACTTCTCAGTTTCTATACTGTACCTAGAAAACAGTGGAAAGGGTCACCATAAGTGGAATCTGACATCACATAACTATTATTATTAAGGTCACAGAAAGGTGCTCTTAGATCAGTCCAGAATTTATGCAGGAGAAGAACTCAGAAGCCAGGGGTAATCAGTTGTTTGTTTCATTAACTGCTGCTTAATTTTCAAATTTTCTGACAGAGTACAAATCAGGAAGTTTCCCACTTCAGCTCTCACATCTGTCATGCACTGACAAGGTTGATTAAGGCAAGCCAAACAAATGCAAATATCGCTACTAATATACAGAGCAAAGTGTTTACTTCTCTTCATATGACTCACTGTACAAAGGAAAATCAGTAAAGTCAATGAACCAATGTTGACTCCTTCCCTTCTTTGAACAATGCCAAAACTCCAACCACAAAATAAAATAGAGCAATTATTTATTTGTAAATTAAGACTTCCTGTGCTACAAATATATCAACTTCTAAATCTGTCTTAGAAAACAGTGAAATAATACTTTCCAACAATGCTGTTTGAGAAAAACCACCTGCTCCATGTTTTTAGGGCACTGTTGGGTCTACAAGAGAAAGAGACAAGTGCCTCCTTCCACTTCTACTCACAGAAGCACTAAGCTTTAGTCAATATTCACAGCTTCCAGTCTTTCCATGCAATATGACATAATTGCTGCAAATCAATACTTAGGGGGGAAAAAGTAAGGGAAAGAAGAGGGTAAGTCTTGTAAGTGAAGAAACAGAGCACCTGGGATTTTCCAACTAGTGCAAACAGATGAGAAGCAACAACTAAAACAACTCTCGCTTAAAAACTTAACGAGTCATATTTTTAAAACAGCACACATTCTGAAAGTGTGAAGAGGGAAATAAAAAAGTACCCAACTGGATGAGCGGACTTAATCATATTTCTCCCTTTTTTTCCTGAATGTTTGCAGTACAGCAGAGCTGCAGGTTGGTAAAGGGAAAAAAGTGTGTGAGAAAAGAAAACAGATATACAGTGGAGCCTCGCTTAACGAGCGCACCGTATAACGACAAAATTGCATAGCGATCCGTTTTTTCGGATCGCTAAGGCGATCGCTCAACGTTTTTCTAATAGGGCAAAATTTGCTTTGCGAAGACCGGTAAGCATTTTGCTTACCGATCTTTGCAAAACAAAGCCCGACGATCAGCTGTTCGGCGGCCAAAATGGCCGCTGGAAGCCCGGAAATGGCCCAAAATGGCCGCGCGCATCGTTTTCGCACCCTCGTTAAGCGAGGCGAGGGCGCGAAAATGGCTGCCGGCCATTAAGAAGCATCGCTGAACGGTGAGTATTTGGCCCATTTGGAACGCATTAAACCATGTTTAATGCGTTCCAATGGAATTCCCTGCCCCGTTCAAGTATTTCTCCCTTTTTTCCCTGAATGTTTGCAGTGGAGCAGAGCTGCAGGTTGGTAAGGGGAAAAAAGTGTGTGAGAAAAGAAAATAGATATACTAGGTCAAATCTAAAGTCCCAATCAGAGTTGGAAATCAATGGAAGGTATGTTACTTAACAAGGTCCATTTGTTTCAAAGGGTCCAATCTAGTTGGGACTAACACTGGATTTAGCCCACAGAACAGAAACTACTTAAAGTAGTTTCCTTCTACTAACCGAATTAGAAAGTAATCTTAAATAAGCCCCTGAGCACTAGTGGAAGCATAAACCTTTTCTGAAATAGAAGCTAATTTTGATTAATCTAACATCCCAATCAGAGTTGAAAATCAATGGAAGGTATGTTACTTAACAAGGTCCATTTGTTTCAAAGGGTCCAATCTAGTTGGGACTAACACTGGATTTAGCCCACAGAACAGAAACTACTAAAAGTAGTTTCCTTCTACTAACCGAATTAGAAAGTAATCTTAAATAAGCCCCTGAGCACTAGTGGAAGCATAAACCTTTTCTGAAATAGAAGCTAATTTTGATTTTTTTTTTTTAAAGGAACAGTGAAAAGGTATTTGTTACCACTGTCTTCTCTATAGGTATCTTAATAATGGATGGATTATTCTTTCTAAGAAAACAAGGTCTTTGCTTATGATAATACACAGATCAGGCAAACTTGCTGGAAGCTGACCATCATCTAAACTGTCAATCCAAAATTTAGTTTTTGTCTCATCAGAAATACAGTTCACAGACAGGATCAAATAATATTTCAATTGTCAATGACAATGCAGATCAATATGCACACACAAGGTATCTTGACTGGGTAGGATTTATTCCATTCATCCAAAATTCTCAGCAAATTTCTGCATACTGATGTACTCTGAGCAGTGTAACACATGGTTTCCTAAAATGTTCAAAATGTAGAGTGTTATCCCCATAACCCCAAGGAACAAAACCATCTGAATCCTTCTAAAATGTAAAAAGAACTAGCATGGTCACTCAGTCCCTTCCGAACTGTAACGGTACAGAAAATTCCACAGCATATAAACAGACTGAAGGATCACTCAAAGTTCCACCAATATCAACCATTATCCTGGAAGAAAGCAAACCTTTCAGAGGAGTGGCTCCAGAGAATCTGGATCACTTCACTCTTGCATAACTACAATTTCTGAAATTTATTTTGCACTTATTAGCATTACATCAGGCAGAATCCTTTCCTACCTGTGTCCTACTGTACTCTCCTCTTTATAAATGAATAAGATGAAACACAGCGATAGCTCTTGGCTAAATGTCATCTAGTTATTATCTCAATATTTTTCATTGTATCATAGACACAGAACCATTTCAAATGTTTTCAGTTCACTACATGGTAAATCATGGTAGGGTGCCAGAAAACTTTGTCCCATATGAGCCTGCCTACAACCTGAGATTTTAATCAGAGGCCTTGTTGTAGGGCTTACTGAAACCTTGAGATGCTAGCTAGGTGAATGCATGAGACAGGACTTTCTCAGTAGCTGAACTTCAATTATGGAACTCCCTTGCAAGAGAAAAGAAAACATAGCTGCATGATCCATCCATAGAATTCAAGTTCTGGATTCAATTACACTTTCCTTGGCTCACTAAACATTTGCAGACATGGTGAGCGTTTGAATTCCTCAGAATTCTTTTGATGAGGATAAGGCAAATAGTCTTAATAATCTCACTGGCAATATGGATTCAAAATCAATGGGCAGTGCACTGTTCATTGTTTCTGAAAACCATACTGACAGCACGACAAGTAGGAATTTGTGGATTCTTCATGACGTAAAGCTCTCTAATGTATTAATTTACAGTCTCTTTCTTCAAACAAAAAGCCTTGCTTCTGCCTCTGTAGATCTGTCCATTGCCTTTGGTAAGGTGCACAGCCCCCTGTGTAGGTTGAGAGCAGAAAAGATGGCACAAGGCAACAGTCCTTACTTCAGCAAAACAGTCCTCCCAAAATAAGACAGACATCTTCATTTATTTTATTTTTTTTCTGGTTAGGTGAAATGACATCATTCTGTATGACTGTTGTGTTTTAGAATTTTTAACTGGCTAGTTAAATGGTTTTAAAATTGTTTTATATATTATATTGTACACTGCTTTGGGGGCAATTTATTTTAGTGATCATTTATTTATTTATTTTATGTTATAATCTTAGAACTCCAGAGATGGAAAGGACCCTATGGATCATTGAGTCTACCCTTTGCCTAGCTCTGACTCCGCAGTCAGATGTCTAAACTACTGAGCTATTCAGCAGTTCTGTTCTGTCCTGTTAGTCCCACCTTTCCTCAAGTGAGTACAAGGTGGTGTGCATGATTCTATTCTTCCCTCTTTTATCTTTACAACAACCCTGTAAGGCAGGAGGGGCTGAAAGAATGTGACTGCATCACGGTCAACCAGTGAGTTTCATCACCAAGTGGTGGTTTAAGCCTTGGTGTCCCAAATCCTGGTCCAACACTCTGACCAGGTTATTACACAACCTTTGCAATAAGTAAATGGATAGAACATTCTCTCCTTCTCTAATAATAATCATTACTGAACATAAAAGAACAACTGGGAAATATCTCTGCTCTCCAAGATGAAGTTTACTACAAGTTTTAGCAATGAAGCTTGGAAAAAATCCAGCAGCATATCCTGCTAAATCATAATTTATTTTAAATAGTAGATGTATTATGCACAGTCTAATTGTTTCTCCCCCTGCCTCACAAGACAAATGAGACTTGTTTTAAAAAAGAGGAAATTGCTAAGATCACGAGTACAATTATGTAAATGAAGCAGCAGTGTTTGAATACAGTCAAGCCAAACTGAACATCTTTCATTCTAAACGATTTCAGTGGAGGAAATGTAACCACATACAGTAGGACCGTGAGATTCACTCGCTCAAAGTTTCACTTGTTCACTGCCTGGAAATATTAAATAAAAATCCCAGAAATACATGTTTCCAAGGTGTATTACCAGAACTGCCCACTTAGAGGGAACCAGAGACTATGCTATACATAGCGTTTCTATACCCGCGCTTTTTGACAGAAGCAATCCTTTGCAGATTTTGCAAGTCCTACTATATTTACTACTTCCACTGAAATGAATCAGACTTACAACAGTTAGTTTTGTCTGGATCACAACCCTTTTTTTGGAGGGGAGGAAACCAAAAGGAGGATCTTGCTCTTACCGTGCTACTACTAAAAACTGGTCAATCTGATGATCAGTGAGCTGGCTATCTGGATCCCACACTTTCACTTCAAGTTTTGCCTGTTCCCGGTCATCTGTTTCTCCTAAGAAATAAAATAAAATAGTTACAATATTATTTATTTGTTGTGCTGTTTCAGGGTTAAACTGTCAAAGACAGCCTCCATCATAAAAATCACAAGATTTAAAAGTAAAAGTACAATAAAGTGTAATTGAAAATAGCATAAAAATAACAAATTTGAGAGCACAACAGGAAGACAGCAGTGAATCAAAAACAAAAAGATTAAGCAGCAAGTGACTCAAAATGAGTACATCTGATGTCTTGCCATGAAGGAGACCTATGAGTCTTGGTTCAAAGCAGAGATTTGCAAGCATGAGGCCACTGTTGAGAAGACCCTCTCTCTCGCCCAATATTCTAAATAACTTGCTGATCTCAAAAGCACAGGCAAGTTAAAATGGATGGAGACAGTCCTTCACATAGCCTGGTCTCAAATTGTTTAAGGCTTAAAAGATAAAAACTAGTGTAGAAGTTTATTGTAGAAGTGCAGAAGATTGATGTCACATGCTCTGAATGTCCTGCCGCCAATATTCAAGTAGATGTACTCTGCAGTAGCTTAAGTTTCTGAACTGCATCAAAGGCCACCCTAAGCTGAAGATATGACACTGTTCTAACTGAACACTGCTAGGACACAGACAACTGAAGCTATATCCTTTTTATATATGGCTGCACGTTGGCTCATCTAGACATGAGCTATCAAAAACATTTCTGGCTACCAGTGCCTCTAGTGCTTTCAGTGAATGCATGGGTTACATCCACATGGACGAAGTTGGAATGGTCTGATTCATGCTTTAAAAGTTCTTATCTTTAGTTCAATCTATTTTATCTTGTGCTTGAGAAGAGTCCAGACAGGCCTTTGGATTATTCCAATTTGTTCCCCTTTCAAATTTCCAATTTGACAGCCCCTTCCTGCGCCCTGCCTTTTCTCGCCTACTGACCACAGTTACTTTCCCCTCTTTTATTTTTTTGCCTTCCAAATGAGTCAGCACTGCTTCATATACAAGTATTGAAGGGAACCTCCAATGTATATCTAGAATTGTGCTGCATCAGTTGGGGAAATTTGTAAAAACAAGTTATGAGATGATTAAAACAGAGGAAGCAGTTTCTCCGCCATCCCTTTTAATGTCACAACCCACTGCATATGTCACAGGGTTGCTAGCACAAAGAGTGCAGCCCACAGCTCTATTTGGGAGTGGATTAACCACCTGTGTGGGCTACAGAATGGGATAATTAGGAGTGCACTGAACTGCACCAAATAAACTGCAGACGACTCAGAGACTACTGGTAATGGTGCGGCTAAAAAAAACCTTGCAAATAAATAAATAAAAGGGGCAAGATGAATCATTCTTTTTCCAAAAATGTGGTTCCCATAATTTAATTCAAACCAAACCACACCAAAAGGAAACCAAACAGTGAGCTATATGAACATCCCATCCCCCACTCCCTTGAATCCAGGAGGCCTCTCAAAGAATCTGATTATCAATGGGAATATAATCCAAGACTATCTGCCAAACTCCGTCCAGAATGACTCAGTTTTAAAACATCAGCAATAAGCAGATGGTAGGGTTGTGCATCATCCAGAAATGATTGACAATTCACCCTGAACTCCAGAACACTCCTTCCAGTTTTATCTAAAAGTTAAAAAGTGGGGGGGTGGGAGCAAAAGGGAACTCTGAGGCACCCTATATGCTGAAGGAGAACATCCTTTGGGTTTCCAGATAGGGTTGGATCAAAGTTCCCAGCACACTTAATCACTGACTAATCTAGCTAGGACTATAAGGAACAACAAGTTGTACAACAAGTTGAAGGCAAAGAGTTGCACACCTCCTGTAAGTCTATAGCACATATGTTAACCCCCAGCAGCTTTCTAATATCAATAGGATTAATATTATGAACAATTTGATCCAAAATATTCATGGTAATACTGTTCTTTCCACCTGTCTTATATGTTTAAATCAAACACACAAACGGAGACCATACATGTATATTGATACACTCAATGCATATGTACCATATTTTTCGCTCCATAAGACGCACCTCTCCATAAGACGCACCTCATTTTTAGGGGAGGAAAACAAGAAAAAAATATTTTGGCAATTTTGGCCGACTGGGCCCGCAGGGTGCGGGTGGGGGAGCCTCGGAAGAGTCCGAGAGTGACTAAACGCAATTCACCTGGAGTAGGAACTGGCAATGCCACTCCAGTATCTTTGCCAAGAAAACCTCATGAACAGAAACAAAAGACTAAAAGATATGACGCTGGAAGATGGGACCTTCAGGTCGGAAGGCATCCAACATGCTACTGAGGAAGAACGCAGGACAAGTACAAGTAGCTCCAGAGCTAATGAAGTGGTTGGGCCAAAGCCGAAAGGATGCTCAGCTTTGGACGTGCCTGGAAGTGAAAGGAAAGTCTGATGCTAGAAAGAAAAATACTGCATAGGAACCTGGAATGTAAGGTCTATGAACCTTGGGAAGCTGGAGGTGGTCAAACAGGAGATGGCAAGAATAAACATTGACATCCTGGGTGTCGGTGAACTAAAATGGACAGGAATGGGCGAATTCAATTCAGATGATTATCATATCTACTATTGTGGGCAAGAATCCCGCAGAAGGAATGGAGTAGCCATCATAGTCAACAAAAGAGTGGGAAAAGCTGTAATGGGATATAATCTCAAAAATGATAGAATGATGTCAATACGAATCCAAGGCAGACCTTTCAACATCACAGTAATCCGAGTTTATGCACCAACCACCAATGCTGAGGAGACTGAAATTGACCAATTCTATTAAGACTTACAATACCTTCTAGAACTGAATATAGGAACCTTGTAATGATGGTGATAGAGGAGAGTGAAAAAAACGGTCTGAAGCTCAATATCAAAAAAACTAAGATCATGGCCACTGGTCCCATCACCTCCTGGCAAATAGAAGGGGAAGATATGGAGGCAGTGACAGATTTTACTTTCTTGGGCTCCATGATCACTGCAGATGGAGACAGCAGCCACGAAATTAAAAGACGCCTGCGTCTTGGGAGGAAAGCGATGACAAACCTCGACAGCATCTTAAAAAGCAGAGACATCACCTTGCCAACAAAAGTCCGAATAGTCAAAGCTATGGTTTTTCCTGTCGTGATGTATGGAAGTGAGAGCTGGACCATAAAGAAAGCAGACCAC